AGTTTTCTATGAAATTGTTTGAACATAAGAAATAGTCATCTTTCAATCGTTTCTGTTTATTGAATTTTTTAGAAGTACGTTTCAGTTGTTACGTCCGTTTTTTTATTGTGATCGGTACATCTTTTTAAATAGAACTGTTTACAAAAGTATTCGACGATACAAATGATAGAAGAAAGATCATAGCTGCTCAAAGTTTATTCATTGATTAAGGTATTAGTGTTATTAAACGAAGATTAACAATGTCGTCACAGTGCAAAGCATGCTTATGGCACTACCAAGCTTTTGTATTTATGGTTGAATTTCATCGGAAATAGCTGAAGTGCTTGCCTATCTAGATTGAATAATGAACACTTTGAGGAGTGTGAAAGTTATCAACTCTCAATGTATGTTTCAACCAAGGGTTAAATATAGGTGACTGGGTCATATTTGGAGTTAGCATACCATAAAACTGTTTACAATCAGCATCTTAATAACTTTCTGATTCACGAGCCAAAATGTTATAATACTAACGTCTGTTTACTGCTTTTATAGACGAAATAATTCAAGATGTAGTAAAATATTAACGCTAAGGTAACAATTATTAAATTAAACAAGTACTTCGAAGTGAATCATATTTAGTGATCATGTCGATAAGCTTAGAGTGTTTCATAATTGGTCACTTGGCGGGAATAGTGAAGTTTTCTTTTATCTTCTGATGTTGACCTAGGAACTGAAAGGTCTCGATATTTTTGTATGTTGTTTTGAGTAGTTCCTTGAGTATTTCCTCGTGACCTCTGTGTATATGAGCGTCATTGCAGAAAATAAGTTATCTCATCCAATAGAGAGCACTTTCTTTACTTCGAATTCCTAAACGAGTTGATCAATCATTTATTTGCAAGTTATTTCATTAGAAAAAACTTGATTTCTAATAGTTGTCGCAATGAATCCCAAAACAATGTCATAGATTTGGCATACAGATTTAAAAACTATTTAAAGATCATCGGCGGAATATTTGATATCCAGTGCTGGTTATCAGTGTTCAGAAGACCAGTAAATTGACGTTTCATTTAGTAATTAAGCACTTGTTACTTAGTGTAGGAGCATAAAATGTTTCAGTTATGTCTTAAAACTGTAAATGACTTCCTGAGAAACTAACGTATTTACCTTAATCAATTACTGAGTAGTGAATGACATCATGCTGCTTAGATAAAACTGCTCAGTGAACTTCACAATTCAAGTTTATATTATGACCAATATATTAAATTTTGCTGGATAGCAGCGAATTTTCGTTGGATACCTGTATGTGATTAGGATGCTGATATTACAAACTAACAGATTTCCTCTTTAGAAATAAAAGGCTTGCAATAATAGTTTTACTAAAAATGTTTTTCATAGCTTTCTGTTTTAACTGAAAGGAAGATGTTACTCTTTAAAATTGGAGAAGAGTGTACATTTGCTGATCACTAAAAGAATAGAACTCAAAAACTTTGGCTGTCTTAGTCAACGAGTTACCTTCAAACTACTTAGTGAGAATTGAATGATGTACATTTTCAAACTTTTTTTCAAATCACGGTACTGATATCTAACGTGATTGACGATTTTCAAATAATCGAATGTGATTAAACTCCACCAGTCGTCACATCTCACGAGAAGTTGAACTTGTCCACTTTTTATTGATATTGTTTGGATGTTTATGTTGTGGGAAACAAATACGCATTTAAGTATATTAGTTGTTTGAATCTTCACATTGTTGTTTAGGTTTTCAGTTAACCAGTCTCTTTTTGGTATATTTGCATTCTGTGTGTATCGCATCAATGTTGTCTTAAGTCACAAGGATTATAAGCAAGGATGGATTCTGTCTAACCTTGGAATCCAGGATTCACGTTACATTCGTTTTTAAACTCGTCAGCTGAATTTTCTTGCAACCTATAGTTGATGTTCAAGAGAATGCACAAGTCCGTAGGTACCTGGCTCAGTAGCTTAGTGGATATCGCAATGACGTTTAAATTGAACAGTATTGTGTTCGAGTCTCCGATTGAACATCAACTCTGAGATTCAGGTACATCCAAGTGACGAGCCACGAACAGGACAAAACGTGTATCTTGGATTCCACAGATGGCCATTATTCATCTCTACTTAGCATATACAAATATTCTGTAAGTCTCAGTGTGCTAAATGAATGTATTATGTAAAAAAGATGACGGCTAATAAATGAGTTGTTTTTATCAAGTTCTGTAACTTCTAGTGTCTTAAAGTAGTCAAAAAATTGTGGCTCAAATGATTAGGGTGTGACTAGGTCAAAAAGACAATAATAACAATAATAATAATATGACAGAAAAAACAAATCAAGATAATATTTTCCGAAAAACTATGTATATTTCTAGATTAGGGCTGTTGCAATTCTCAATGGGGTGAATAGTTATTGTACAATCATCTACTACTTTTATAAACAAAATGAAAATCAAATAAATTTTCATAAATAAACTTATTTCTGATATTTCAAGTAACTTAGGCACAATAATCATATTGAAGAATGGCCCGATTTTAAGACAAAATCAGTTCTCAACATTATCAGAAGTTTTTTGTGGATATTAATGTAATTTCAATAGTTAAGATAATAAGTCAATTGAAGCTAGACCACCATGGAAAACATTAAATCACTGGATGACCATTTCGTTTTAATGTGCGACTCCTCAGCAGTGTGCATCCATGATACCATCTCACCACATTCGAACCCAGGACATATCAATCTTGCACGCGAATGCTTAACCTACAGACCACTCAGCCGGTTGGCATCCAACGGTGTTAATATCTAAATTCAATTAATTCATGTCTTCAATGAGTTACTATCTCACAACAGACCTGTTTGAACTCCACTAGTCACTGCTTCTCACTAGAATTCCAGGATACACCTTTTGAAGCCAGTCATTAGTGAGCACATGTTGATTCATATCAGAAGGGTTTTTTTGTGGATATTATAGTACATTATGACGATAATACTTCCTTGAATCAAGTATCTACATTCAGGGATATCTACATACAAGCTCGACTAACATGAAAAAACCCTAGAAGCACTAGATAAATGAAATAACTCGTTAATATTGTAATATACTTATTCACCAATATATTAGTATCATGTCTATCTGATGAATCTATTCTTGAATATTAAATTTAAAAGTAACCATTTGAAAAATTCAATGGAACAAATGATTTATTTTTATTTTCATTGATAACATTCATTTCTTTTTATACTTTTTTTGGAAAAAGAATAAAAATAAATATAAATAAAAATAAAATAAAAAATAACTAAATAAATAAAATTATTATTAAAATATTAATTAATTTATTTCATTAATGAAGAAGATGAAAATTGTCATATGGAAAATCCTCATAAATTTGCATGTTCTTTAAAATAAGTTTCAATATAATTTATATTCAGACTTAAAACAAAAAAAAACAATCGACAAAACGATTATATAATATGAAGTAATGGAAGATATTCTCTTGGATTAGTTGAAATTAGACATTAACACCGTTGAATGTCAATCAGCTGTGTGGTTTAGTGGGTTAAGCGTGCTTGTGCGAAATCGATACGTTTTGTGTTCGAATCTCGCGAGGTGGGATCATAGATATGCACTACTGAGGAGTCCTAAAATTGGGATGAAACAGCCATGCAGTACTTCCATTTTTTCCATAGTGGTCTAGCTTCAATTGATTTATGATCTCAACTATTCAAACTACTAAAATGTCCACAAAACTCCTTCTAATAGTAATCAACATATGCTCACTAATGACTGGCTTCAAAAGGTGTATCTGGAGTTCTAGTGAGAAGTAGTGACAAGTGGAATTCAAACATATCTGTTGTGAAATAGTAACTCATTGAAAACATGAATTAATTGAATTTAGATATTAACACTGTTGGATGTCAACTGGCTTAGTGGTCTGGAGGTTAAGCATTCGCGTGCAAGATTGCTATGTCCTGGGTTCGAATGTCGTGAGATGGTATCATGGATACACACTGCTGAAGAGTCCCACACTAAAACGAAATGGTCATGCAGTGTTTCAATGTTTTCCATGGTGGTCTAGCTTCAATTGACTCATGATCTCAACTATTGGAAGGTAATTTATTTGTTATTATGACTGAAAATCTTATCTTAAATTTAAACTTATTTTAATTACTGTTATAAGTAGCCTCCTGTTACTTCGATGTTTAATGTATAGATATGTAATTCGGTCTCAGTCATAGAATGTAGAAAAACTACGTTTCTGATGGTTAGTAGATATTTATCAGTTACTTTATCAAAAAGAAAATGTACACGTACTTTTTAACGTCAATCAGCTACAATGTAGAACCTGGCGCGTCTATGCATCGGTTCAAGTTGCCAAACCTCATTAGCACAACGAGGTCAACAATAAATTCATAGAAGTATTCACTTCAGTAGTAATGTATAAAAGAAATATTGTGTATGAGGAAATAACACAGGAAAAAGTAATTACTCCGTACAAATTAAGGTATAAAGTTATTTCACAAAATTAAGGGAAGACAAAGAGTGTATACATCTGCACCACAGTGATCGATTATGAGCCATGTCACCTAGAGTCTCCAAACATTGATTACGATAGTCGCGCGGACTCCAACCAGGTAGACTACATCTATTAACATGGCTCAGGCTAGAAGTTAGTGACTTCAATGACTGATGCCACGTTTTGATTTAGTCGTCCCTAACTTTCTTCCAACCATCCCGAACACTAGTCAGAATTGTACGTTGTGGTAATCGATGTTCAGGCATACGTAACGTGTCCCAATCATCTCAGTCGACGAAGATTTCTAATCTCATCAACCGAGTTACCATCATTCCCTAATACCCTGTGTTTAACCTCACTATTACTTGCCCGATGATTTCAACAGATGCGAGAAATATTTCTGTGATCATATACCATCAGCTTACGAGTACTTTCTACTCTTAGTGGTCACGTTTTGCGGCCGTAAAGTAGAACAGAACGAACCGCCGCTTAGTATA